AAAAAAAATAAAGGTATAATAAAACATAGGTGTATTAAAAATATAGGTAAAAAACATAGGATATAAAAAACATAGGTATAATAAAAACATCAGTATAAAAAACATAGGTATAATAAAAACATCGGTATTGGTATCTCATATAAAAATATAGGTATAAAAAATACAATAAACATAGGTTTAAAAAATTTTTAAAATATAGGTATAATAAAAATAGATAGGTGATAAAAAACATCGGTATAATAATGGATATGTCATAGGTATAATAAATAAAAACATAGCTATAAAAAATAATAAAAACATAAATAAAAAACATAGGTATAAAAAAAAAATAAAAAAAACATAGGTATAATAAAAATATTCTAAAAACATAGGATATAAAAACATAGGTATAATAAAAACATAGGTATAAAAAAATAGGTATATAAAAACATAGGTATAATAAAAACATAGGTATAATAAAACATAGGATCATATCAAAAAACATAATTATAATAAAAATAAACATGTATAAAAAACTATATAACAATAAAAAACATTACTTTAATAAATATAGGTATAAAACATAGGTATAATAAAAACATAGGTGAACATAAAATAAACATAGGTATAACATCGGTATAAAAAACATAGGTATAATAAAAACATCGGTATAAAAAATGCTATAATAAAAACATCTGTATAAAAAAAACAATCGTCAGGTATAATAAAAAACATTGGTATAAAAAAACATAATAAAAAAACATAGGTATAAAAAAACATCGGTATATTTATATAAAAAATATAGGTATAAAACATACATAGGTATAATAAAACATAGGTGCGTAAAACATAGGGATAATAAAAACATAGGTATAAAAACATAGGTAGTCTAAAAACATTTTAAAAAACACAGGTAAAAAAACATTTTGTATAAAAAATCATTTAAAAACATTATTGGTATTAAAAATTTAGGTTTAATTAAAACATTGTTTTTGTTTAATAATTTAAAAAAACATTATAAAAAACATAGGTATTTATTAAAAAAACATATATATTTAGGTAAAATAAAAAACATCGGTTAATAAAAATATTTAAAAACATAGGATAATAAAATATAGGTATAAAAAATATAGGTATAAAAAACATAAAACATTTTAAAAAAATCGGTAAAAAAAGCATAGGTATAAAAAAACATAGGTATAAAAATAAAAATAAAAACATACGGATAATAAACAATAATAAAATTATAAAAAAAACATAGGTATAATAAAAACATAGGTATAATAAAAACATAGGTATAATAAAACATAGGTATAATAAAAACATAGGTATAATAAAAACATAGGTGTAAAAAAATAGGTATAAAAAACATAGGTATAATAAAACATAGGTATAATAAAAAATAAAAAAATATAGGTATAATAAAAACATCGGTATAAAAAAAGTAGGTAGGTATAATAAAAAAAAAAAAAACATAGGTATAAAAAAACATAGGTATAATAAAAAACATAGGTATAAAAAATATAAAAAAAACATAGGTATAAAAAAACATAGGTAAAAAACATAGGTATAATAAAAACATTGGTATAAAAAACATAGGTATAATAAAAACATAGGTATAAAAAAACATAGGTATAATAAAAGCATAGGTGTAATAAAAATATAGGTATAAAAACATAGGTATAATAAAACATAGGGATAATAAACATAGGTATAATAAAAACATAGGTATAAAAACATAGGTATAATAAAAACATCGGTATAAAAAACACAGGTATAATAAAACATACGGATAATAAACATCGGTATAATAAAAACATTGGTATAAAAAACATAGGTATAATAAAAACATAGGTATAATAAAAACATCGGTATAATAAAAGCATAGGTATAAAAAAACATAGGTATAATAAAAACATAGGTGTAATAAAAATATAGGTATAAAAACATAGGGATAATAAACATAGGTATAATAAAAACATCGGTATAAAAAACATAGGTATAATAAAACATAGGTATAATAAACATAGGTATAATAAAAACATTGGGTATAAAAAAACATATAAAAAAACATAGGTATAAAAACATAAAATAAAACATAGGTATAATAAAAAAACATCGGTATAATAAAAAAAATATAGGTATAAAAAACATAGGTATAAAAAACATATATAAAAAACATATAGGTATAATAAAAATAAAAACATATGGATAAAAACATAGGTATAATAAAAACACATAGGTATAATAAAAAACATAAATAATAAAAACATAGGTATAAAAAACATAGGTATAATAAAAAGGTATAAAAATATAATAAAATAAAATAAAACATAGGTAAATAAAACATATAAAAAATATAATAAAAACATAGGTATAAAAAAAGCATAGGTATAATAAAAACATAGGTATAATAAAAACATAGGTGTAATAAAAATATAGGTATAAAAACATAGGGATAATAAACATAGGTATAATAAAAACATCGGTATAAAAAACATAGGTATAATAAAAACATCGGTATAAAAAACATAGGTATAATAAAAACATCGGTATAAAAAACATAGTATAATAAAACATACGGATAATAAACATCGGTATAATAAAAACATTGGTATAAAAAACATAGGTATAATAAAAACATAGGTATAAAAACATAGGTATAATAAAAACATCAATTATAAAACATCGGTAAAAAAAATAGGTATAAAAAAATATAAAAAATAAAAAATATACGGATAATAAAAACATCGGTATAATAAAAAACATAGGTATAAAAAAAACATAACATAATAAAAAACATAGGTATAATAAAAAACATCAATATAAAAACATAGGTATAAAAAAACATAATAAAAAACATCGGTATAAAAAAAATTATAGGTATAATAAAACATACGGATAATAAACATAGGTATAATAAAAAACATAATAAAAAAATATAGGTATAATAAAAAACATAAAAACATAGTATAATAAAAACATCGGTATAAAAAACATAGGTATAATAAAACATAGGTATAAAAAAAAATAGGTATAATAAAAATAATAAAAACATAAAAAATATAATAAACATAGGTATAATAAAAACATAGGTATAAAAACATAAAAAACATAGGTGTATAAAAAAAATAGGTATAAAAACAAAAATAAACATAGGTATAAAAAACATAGGTATAAATATAACATAGGTATAATAAAAACATAATAAAAAAATATAAAAAACATAGGTATAATAAAAATACATAATAAAACGGTATAATAAAAACATAGGTATAAAAACATAAAATAAAAACATAGGGATAATAAACATAGGTATAATAAAAACATAGGTATAAAAACATAGGTATAATAAAAACATCGGTATAAAAAACATAAAAACATCGGTATAATAAAAACATAAAAAAAACATAGGTATAATAAAACATCGGTAAAAAATCAATATAATAAAAATAGGTATAATCGGAAAACATAGGTAAACAAACATAATAAAAAAATAATAAAAAACATTATAAAAACATAGGTATAAAAAAAACATAGGTATAAAAAAAAAAACATCATAAAAAAAAACATATAAAACATAGGTATAATAAAACATAATATAAAAAAACATAATAATAATAAAAAACATACGGTATAAAAAAGCATCGGTATAAAAAACATAGGTATAAAAAAACATAGGTATAATAAAAAATACATAGGTATAATAAAAATATATAATAATAAAAACATAGGTATAATAAAAACATAGGTATAATAAAAAAATATATAAAAATAAAAAATAGGGATAATAAAATTAGGTATAATAAAAACATCATAATAAAAAAACATAGGTATAAAAAAACATAGGTATAATAAAAATCATTATAAAAAACATAGGTATAATAAAAACATAATAAAAAATACGGTATAATAAAAAAAAATATTGGTATAAAAAAACATAGGTATAATAAAAACATATAATAAAACATACGGATAATAAAAGCATAAAAACATAGGATAAAAAACATATAATAAAAAAAAAATAAAAAAAAATATAAAAAACAGGTATAATAAAACATACGGATAATAAACATCGGTATAATAAAAACATAAATATAAAAAACAGTTGTAAAAAACATAGGTATAATAAAAACATAAATATTAAAAAACATAGTTGTAAAAACATAGATATAAAAACATATGCATAAAAAAGGTATAAGAAAATCATAGTTAAAATAAAAACAGGTATAATAAAAACATAGTTATAAAAAACATAGAATAGAAAAATATAGATATAATAAAAACATTGGCATAAAAATCATAGATATTATGATCAAACTTAGTAGCCGTAGATATTCTACGTACACAGACTCAAAGTTTCCTGTGAACTATAGTTATAGATCTCTTTATGCTAATTACCTATTAGCTAAACTAATCCCATTACAGGTATAAGAAAATGTAGGTATAAAAACAAACATCACGTGCCCCCTTTGTTCATCTTGAAGTCTTTGACAAAATCCAGAGACCAAGATGCAATGTAATTTTTCTGGCATTTTGTCGACAGTCACTTTCTAACAGAATGTGATGTGGCTTCCCTCTGTCTTTTCTACAAATATTTTCATGGCGACTGTTCTGACAATCTGTAACCCACCTGCATGAATTTAAGCGTGCTACTAGATTGGTATCTTGGTCCCACTCTTTCACGGTCGAAACAGTTAATTGTAACCACTTCTTCTACTCCAAGAGATTCTTTTCTCGCAATACCCCACAGTGGGAGCCTCTTCTTTCCTGATAGCTATAATCTTCAAATATCCAAATGTAATGCCAATCGCCATCTTCTGATGCCTTGATCCTGATCCTCGTCTTTCTGTTCATCCTTTCCGCTATCACGCTTCTTTACTCTCGCTACCCGCTCCCTTGCGTGCTAGTGGTACTCCCGTCTTGCTTGGGGTGAAATGCTTAGAGAAAAAAAAAATTAAAGTAATTGATTGATTCAACTACAAGTTATTCATATTTTCAGAATTAAATTTTTAACCCACTTATACTGGCGCGGCCGTAACTATGAAATAAATGCAAATCACATTTATAGCACGTAATAATAATATCTTATTCGAATAGGCTATTTTTCTCACTCCCGTCGATAATGCTATTCTGACGGTAAATATAAATATGGTTTTAGAACTAAAAGTATATTATATTTGGGATCGTCAGTAAATTTCAAAATAAGTTATACCAAAATTCGCTTGAAAATGAAATTGAACTATGTCTTTTAATTTAATTCTATAATTGAATTTGAAGTTTTTAGTTTCTGTTTTTGAAACCTGGTAATTCCTCTGTTGCGAAGGAACCATATTTTAAATCAGTTAATATATATATATATATATATATATATATATATATATATATATATATATATTAGTAGAGTTTAGTTAATATTTGTACAGAAGTATTCATACAAAGAATGAATCAGTAAAGTTAATGTAATTGCGAAATCACTTTGATAACAGATTAAATAAGGCATTAACTCACTAACCTTTTAACGACGGGATCCTTGTTTTTAAAAACTGTAAAATGGATTAGATGTTCAGTCTATATTATAAGTACTTTCGATACTACGTGTATCATCTTCAGGCATAGATTTTTATGCCTTAAGAATGAGTCTCATTATTACTGGATGCACTAGACTTTCGGGCTTGTGCTGCAACTAAACCACACTTAGTCAATATATCATGCATATGAATGGATTACTTCTTGATATTGATCTACTCTGTCATGACGGGTTTTATACTCATTGGTTATGAGTACTACGTATCCTGTGATCAGGTGATCAATAGTTTCAATGTATTGGTCACAGCATTTTGATCTGTACTGTTACTTAAGATATTAGTTTGATAGTTATGTATAAGCAATCCCTGGTCCTGTGCGTTAAGAATAAACCCTTCAGACTCGCATTTAAGGCAGATTTAGCGAATTATGGGTTGCGAATTGATCTACATCAGCATTTTTCCTTCAGCAAAGAAACTGGCAATGTAGAGGCCTTTGGCTCTAGATTTCTTTTACGTGCTTTTGCCCTGGCTTTTTCGATTCTTGTTTCACTTTTTTTGTTGATGGTGTGTCAGTTTCATTTACTTCATCGCAACATTCATGACTTGAACCGAATTCTCTTGCGTATTTTCATTGAGAACATCGGCCTGGTGTAATGGTTAACAAAAACTAGCTAGATCATTCACGACTGATTTAAGAGTTCCATCATCACAGGCTGCACCAAACTTTTAGCCTTGTGCTTCTTTACTTAGTTAATCTATATATCTTGCATATTTATGGACTTCTATTTGATACTGACCTATCCTGTCATGACTGCACTCATTGGGTGTGAGTATTGCGCATCCTTAGATGAGCTGATCCATATTTTCAATGTATTGGTCACAGCATTTTGATCCGTACTATTACGTAAAATATTAGCTTGATAATTATGTGTAAACAGTCTCTTGCCCTTCGAGTCAAGAATAAAACCTTCTGTCTCGCCCTTAAGGTCTGAACTCGTTAGACAATTATGGTTTGCGAATTGATACATCAGCATTTTTCTTTCTTTCAGTGAAGGCTCTGGCAATATAGTGACTCTTTTCTCTAGGTTTCTTCTCCGTATATTTGACCTGGCTTTTCAATGTCCAAGACTTGACCGAAATCCTCGTGCGTAACTGTAGTCTTTGTGTACATCACCGTGGTGTAATTGGTTAGCAAGGTTGTCTCGCTAGATCATTTACGTCTGACTAATGAGTTCCATCATCACTGACTGTACCATACTTTTAGCCTTTATTGTAACTAAGCTAAACTTAGTCAATACATGATAAAGCTTTTTATTTTTTTCATGTTCCATTATGGATTGTAACATCCAATCTGTATAGCTGCAAAATACATATAAAGACCCATTGCTGAAATGTAAAACAATTCCAGATCAGTAATATCATTATTATTATTATTATTAGTAGTAGTAGTAGTAGTAGTGGTAGTTTTCCCCCATTTAAGGGAAGAGCATGAATTAAGAAAAAGAAAAGAAAAAGTCAATGTCTGATAAAGTTAAATAATATTTCAAGTTATATGTTTTTTTTTTTTAAATTTAAGTATAAAAATATATAAAAAAAATGTAGGTCTTTGTACAAACGTTGCAAATTTATACTTATTAAATACATTAATTGTGGCACAAGGCCAAAAATGGGGGAGTGCGTCGAGGTTGATCTCATAGCTAGCTAATCAGATTCACAACCCATTCATTCATTTCAATTTACTCATTCGCCATAAGAATCTATCTGTCACCATCACCATTCGTTGCTACATACACCAAAATATCTCACACCCACAGCAACCCTAATGAAAAAGTCCTTATGATTTAAAATTTCCATATATACAATGGTATCTGTCTATATTTCTGAGATGAGGTATTATGTATACTATTTACATTATTCGGACTATTGTCCTCATCTTTATCGACATATTCATTACAACGTTTCGGCCGTTGTACGCTCCGGCCTTCATCAGGTGGTTGGAATGTCAAACTGAACCCTTTATTTCACTCACTGGTGTAGACTGTTCTAGTTCCACGTGCCATGTCTTATGGATGTCAGTTATCAGTTATCTCCTGCTTAATTCCCTCTCCAAGTTCACCACCGCCTTAACCAGGTATTGAACTCACACTCTTTGGGTCCTGTCACTGGGTCTAACTAACGCCTTTATCTATTGTGCCATATATCCTTGAGGACATTAGTGTACGATTCTGTGGGTATTATAAACACTAGCAATCATTTTTTTACCAGTGCTAATATTGCAATTTTTGATGTTATCTTTCATATTTTTATCAGTGCTCATATTGCAATTTTGGTATTTTTTAACGGCACCTTTGGGATTTATTTTTAATCATTTCACTCCAAACAAGGCAAAAATACCTGTAGTATGCATGAGGTTCCAAAGAATTAAAATTAAAGTGAAAGTAAATTGAAAGAGAAGCCTGAGTTAAGGGAGGATTGAGGAAAAGAGAAAAGATGAACGGGATTCATGAAGACAGAAAATGGCGATTGCCATTGCATTTACCTTTTTGTAGATTATATTTATCAGGGAAGCAAGCAAACAGAAGCAAGTCTATTGTCTCGTCTATCGATTAGTTGTCCTACGTCTATTGTCTGCAATAGACGTTACACCAAGGAAGCATATGGAAATTCTAACGCTGCACGAACGCACTGGAATGCCTTACCAGTGAGAAAATTAAAGTACTATACACTGGATCGGAAACTCTCCTGATTTAAATCCAATCGAGAATCTATGGTCAATCTGCAAGGAACAACTTTGTGGAATGAGCATATGAAGTACTAACATGAGAACTGGGTCATGTTTCATTGGAAAACAATACGAAATAAAGTAAATAATAACGGAATTATTCGTTTTGTTTCAATTAATTTTAACTAGGGTGCAGATAGATAGATAGATAGATAATGAACAGAATGGGATAGATAGATGATAGATAGATAAGTGAATAGATAGATAGATGGATAGATAGATAGATAGATATGATACTATTGTTTCAATGTCGATTGGTTGTCCTACGGCCATTGTCTGCGAAACTGGACATTACTCCAAGAAATATATAAAATTGTAACGCTGGCAATTCTTAACAGTGAGCAAATCAAAAGTACTTTCGACTGACTCGAGTAACTCTTATCCTTTAAATCAAACAAAGAATCTGTTTCACTTTGCAAGGAAAAGACTTTGTGGAATGGACATATAAAAAGTACTAACAAGTTCACTGGGTCATGTTTCATTGGAAAAATATGATAAAAAAGAAAAAAATAACGGAATTATTCGTTTTGTTGCAATTAATTTTTGCGAAGTGTAGCTAGCTGGCTAGCTAGCTGTCTAGCTAAGATAGATAGATGAATGAATGAATGGATATAACAAGGCTGAGATAGACTGGTCAGGAAACTTTCCAGATATAAATCTTATTTCTTTGTTCATTCTGCAAGGAAGGATTTCGTGGAATGGACATTCATGAAGTTGAACTGCACTGGGTCCAAGTTTCATTGGAAAATTTAAGTAAATAATAACAAGGAATTATTCGTTATGTTTCTTAATTTGCACAAAGGGTGTAGATAGATAGAGTAGATATCATTGGAACACCAATGAATAGATATGAACAGAGCAAAACAGATATCTTCAGATAGATAGATTGATAGGAACAGACCGATAGATAGATAGATGAATATGAAGAGACCAAAACAGATAGATGGATGTAGATGAGATGATAGATAGATAATGATAGATAGCATTTTGACAGACCAAAACAGATAGATAGATAGATAGATAGATAGATAGAATAGATAGATAAATAGAATAGATAGATAGATGAATAAATTGTCCAGGAACCTCCTGATTTCAATCCAATCTAGAATTTTTAGACAATCTCAAGGAATGACTTCGTAGAATGGACATAAAGTTTTCATGAAGGCACTGGGTCAGAGTTTCATTGGAAAATATGAGAAATAAGTAAATAATAACGGAATTATTCGTTATGTTTCAATTAATTTGCACAAGGGTGTAGATAGATAGATAGATAGATTGGAACATAGATAGATAGATATGAACAGAGCAAAACAGATATGATGAGATAGATGAATTGATAGGAACAACCGGAGATAGATAGATAGATACGATGTAAGAGACCAAAACAGATAGATAGATAATAGATATGAATGAATATGATGGGAACAGACCAAAACAGATAGATAGATATGAATGAATAGATGAATAATAGATTGTCCAGGAACCTCTCCTGATTTCAATCAATCTAAATTTTGCTCAATCTCAAACAATGACTTCGTAGAAATGGACATATGAAGTACTAACATGTGCACTGGGTCAAGTTTCATTGGAAAATATGAAAATAAGTAAATAATAACGGAATTATTCGTTATGTTTCAATTAATTTTCACAAAGGTGTAGATAGATGAATAGATAGATTGGAACATAGATAGATAAATATGAACAGAGCAAAACAGATAGATGAGAAATAGATACTTGATTAAACAGACCTAATAGATAGATAGATGAATGTGAAGGCCAAAACAGATAGATAGATAGATAGATGATATGATAGATAGATAGGAACAGACCAAAACAGATAGATGGATAGATAGATATTGAATGAATGAATAGATAGATTGTCAAGGAACCTCTCTGTTTTAAATCAATCTAGAATCTTTGCTCAATCTCAAGGAATGACTTCGTGGTGGACATAAGAAGTACTAACATGTGCACTGGGTCATTTTCATTGGAAAATATGAAATAAAGTAAATAATAACGGAATTATTCGTTATGTTTCAATTAATTTGCACAAGGGTGTAGATAGATAGATAGATTGGAACATTATCGACATAGATAGATAACGAACAGGCCAAAACAGATGAATGAGATCATAGATGGATTGATAGGAACAGACCGAGATAATTTAGATAGATGTGAAGAGACCAAAACAGATAGATGAATGCCATGATAGATAGATAGATAGATAGGAACAGACCAAAACAGATAGATAGATAGATAAATAGATAGATAGATAGATAGATAGATAGATAGATAGATAGATAGATTGTCCAGGAACCTCTCCTGATTTAAATCCAATCTAGAATCTTTGCTCAATCTCCAAGGAATGACTTTAGAATGGACATAAAGGTACTAACATATGTGCACTGGGTCATTTTCATTGGAAAATATGAAATAAGTAAATAATAACGTTATTATTCGTTATGTTTCAATTAATTTGCACAAGGGTGTAGATAGATAGATAGATAGATTGGAACATAGATAGATAGATATGAACAGAGCAAAACAGATAGATAGAGAGATAGATAGATTGATAGGAACAGACCGAGATAGATAGATAGATGTGAAGAGACCAAAACAGATGATAGATAAATTGATGAATGAATAGCCAGACCAAAACAGATGATTAGATAGATAATGAATGAATAGGGATAGATGAATAGATTGTCCAGGAACCTCTCTGATTTAAATCCATTGCATTTTTGCTCAATCTCCAAGGAATGACTTCGTAGAATGGACATAAGAACTAACATGTGCACTGGGTCATGTTTCATTCGTATGAAAAAAAGTAAATAATCGGAATTATTCGTTTTGTTTCAATTAATTTGCACTGCAATAGATAGATATATAAATGGATAGATAGATGGATAGATGAATGAATAGATGCACGAACCAAAACAGATAAATAGATAATAGATAGATAGAAACAGACCGAGAAAGAAGAAAGAAAGTAAAGAAATGAAACCTACTGAATAAAAAGAAGAAGAAGAAAGAAAGATAGATAGATTCAGGAAGAAGAAAACAAATGTTCATGAATGAAAAAGAAAACAACTTTGTGGAAAAAAAAACATTCCTGAATATGAAAGAAAAGATAGATACTGGGATAGATAATGATGGATTGGAACATAGATGAATGAATATAAACAGAGCAAAACAATAATGGAATTAGATGGATTGATGGAACAGACCGAGATAGATAGATAGATAGATGAATATGAAGCAAAACAGATAGATAGATAGATGGGTGATGTAATGAATGGGATAGATAAAACAGATAGATAGATAGATAGATAGATAGATAGATAGATAGATAGATTGTCCAGGAACCTCTCCTGATTTAAATCCAATCTAGAATCTTTGCTCAATCTCCAAGGAATGACTTCGTAGAATGGACATAAGAAGTACTAACATGTGCACTGGGTCATGTTTCATTCGAAAAATATGAAAAAAAGTAAATAATAACGGAATTATTCGTTTTGTTTCAATTAATTTGCGCAAGGGTATAGATAGATATATAGATGGATAGATAGATGGATAGATAGATAGATAGATATGAACAGACCAAAACAGATAAATAGATAGATAGATAGATAGGAACAGACCGAGAAAGAAAGAAAGAAAGAAAGAAATAAAGAAAGAAAGAAAGGGAAACCTACTGAAAAAAAAGAAGGAAGAAAGAAAGAAAGATAGATAGATTCAGGAAGAAGAAAAACAAATGTTCATGAATGAGAAAGAAAGAAAGAAAGATTTGGGAAGGAGAAAAAGAAACATTCCTGAATATGAAAGAAAGAAAGAAAGAAAAGATAGATAGATAGATAGATAGATAGATTGTCCAGGAACCTCTCCTGATTTAAATCCAATCGAGAATCCGTGGTCCTATCTGCAAGGAACGACTTCGTGGAATGGACATACGAAGTACTAACATGTCCACTGGGTCATGTTTTATTGAAAAAATACCAAAAATGTTAAATAAAAACGGAATTATTCGTTTTGCTTCAATGAATCTGCACAACGGTGTACTTCATGAAAGACCAAAAATATTAAAGCACTATTTTTCCCACAGTTGGTAAACTACCAGTTGCTAGCCCCTCGGGTTTAGGCCGACTTGGGAATACTCAGCTTTATATACATGTTTGGGGAGATATGAATACCAGAGGTGTGTTTTGTTGAAATTATATTTTGAAATATTGTTGATTTAAGAAATTGTAGGATATTATATAAATTAATGCCATGAAGGAGTTTTCATGTTCATTTTTGATAGTATTTTAAATAGATTTCTATGAAGTTTCTACAATTTGTTAGTATATGGGTATTGTTGGTAATTCATACATACATACATACATATATATATATATATATATATATATATATATATATATATATATATATATATATATCCACAGACAGACTGTTTCATGTATCACAGCTCATCAGTGTGGCTAGATACATTTTATATTAAAAATACCAGCAATCTATCTTATATATATATATACATAGATTTTATATTAAAAATAACAGCAATCTATCTTTATATATATATATATATATATATATTGCTATATATATATTTTTAATAAAATGTATTTTTATACTTTCATATTGTTTTGTTTTTGTTTGCGGGGTCGATTATTTGCCCATTCTTGGTACCCCTAACAGGTGCTACCAGCCCGCATCAAAAGAAAATAAGGCAAAGGCAGCAATTAGGAGGTGATTTCCCGCACCCCACAACATACAATCTCTCGATCAGAGGTCTTGCAACTGTATGTAGTTTATCGTCATGAAAAATATAATCAAGCAAAGAATACCAAAGAAGAACAAAAAACTTAGAAACCAAACTCTACAGTAATTTATTAACTTAAATTTGGGTAAGTCATATAGTATTCAGGGTCCTTCTTAAACTGGACAGGAAATCAATTGGAAAACAGTATCTGTGGAATAGAAGAAATTTTAAAATGAGGAGAAAGGGTCGATCAAAAGTTAGAGTCGGTCAATGAACAGTTGCGATGAACGCAGAAGTTTAAACAAGGAAAGTCTTCTTTTAATAATTATGCAAATAATACTTGGCCCAAGAGCCACTCAAGTTAAAGTGTTGCAAAATGAGGTTATATGTAGGTGTGTCATATTTTGAGGATATGTCGGAAAGATAACAGCTAAGCCCAAACGTGAAGAATTTATGACTGTCTTTATCGGAAAGCATCCACTCAGGAGTCTGTCTTACAAAATAGCGGTTGGAAATTATCGAGTGCCACTTATGAAAATACTCTTCGATAGCTTTTGATTAAATATCACAGGTTTTGATGGGGAAAAAATTTCGACGAACTCTTGAATTCGGTTTTAATTTGAGAAGTTTTTTTCGCATCACATCGTTTTTCAGGGATCTGCAAAAGGTAATTTCATTGTTGCAAGATCAGGTCAATATGGCGTTTGTATTTCCCAATTTCAGATGTCAGAAAACCGAAGTACAATTACATTTTATTCAATTGTATATTTTCAAGGACGCCTTGTCATTTATTGGAACAGATCTTCGGTATATTTCGATTAAACCCTTCAAGTTTCATGCGAACCTTTTTTTTTTTTTATTTTTTTTTTACGACGGACTCTTGCCTCATGTTTTTTTTTTTTTTATTGGAGAAAGTTTTCACCATCAAAACGCTTTGGAACGATCGAAAAAGTAATAACCTTTTGGCCAGGTGAATATGGCGGTGCAATATGGCGGCAGAACAGAGAAGATTGACTGAATTCTCAAACGATTCCTCGTTATTCTGCTATTTGAACTTTAGTTTCCAAGGATAAGAGAGTACTTTGAAATTTTGTATTCTAAGGATATTAGATCTTAAATATTAAAATATTATAGTCTAAAGATAACGTTAGGTCTGTTTTATTTTTTAAATGTAAACTAAATGGTAGAATGGAATATGCATACACCTATGTTCCCCCTCACCGGAATATGATTGGCTGGTGTCCGTCATAAATACCGACGGACGTGTAGGAGAGTCAAAGAGCCTTAGTCTGAGAGCTAAGTCTATAACGACCCCCATTGGACTACGTCATTAATCTACGCTTCTTAACTGCGACCACGATGCGTACCAGTCGATTACTGCTACCATATTCTACTTGGTTATAGTAGCCAAAACCACTTAGCTACTTCGTTCAAATATATCCCTTTCCGGAACATATCAGGCAGTTACATAGATAGATAGATAGATAGATAGATAGATAGATAGATAGATAGATTATGGCTACGACTGAGTAGATAGATAGATTGTGATATAATGGAATATGCATATACTTGTGTTCCCCCTCACTGGATATGATTGGCTGGTGTCCGTCATAAATACCGACGGACGTGTGGGTACGACAAAGTCATGAGAGCCTTAGTCTGAGAGCTAAGTCTATAACGACGCCCATTGGACTACGCCATTAATCTACACTTCTTACCTGCGACTACGACGCGTACCAGTCGATTACTGCTACCGTATTTTACTTGCTTATAGTAGCCAAAACCACTTAGCTACTTCGTTCAAATATATCCCTTTCCGGGACATAACACTAAACTAAAAATCAATATATTATTCTTTTTTTAATTTAGAAAACTCAAATTTTATTTAATCATGTAATTCCATGCAAGGCAATAAAGCCCCTGAGACATAAGGGGTTACTGAGTGTGAAAGAATAAGGGAAAAGAGCAACATTATAAGGGAGCGAGAACAATAGAAGAGTAATCAAGAAAACAATAGATAACGAATGATATTGCACTTAAATATTTGAAGTTTAATATTAGTCAGAAGAGAGGTCCACAGCGAGAAAAGTTACCAAGGAACTTTTGATTTCATCCAGCCAATTCAACTGTAAATTGACAAGACCATACCGTCCATTTAGAACTGCGCTTAAATTCATAAAATCTACACACCACAGGAAGATTTTATCTGTAAAATTACCATGAAAGTAATTATAGATAAGACACAGGGCAGGTATGTTACGGCGGTTGGGAAACGAGTGAAACCGTGGCGCAAGGTCATGATCAATAATATTGTTGATTCTTCTTTGAATTTATGAAAAATCTCTAACTATACAGAAGGAGCATCCGAATATTCCAAGCATGGACGAATGATAGACCTATAAATATTTAAGATAGAGTGATACACCTTTCCGAGCAGCAGGCCTAGCAATTGATTCAATATAATCTTTCAACTTCATGTCAGCAGAGAACACTAGCCCGAGAAGGCACTATGAATCATTCTTTTGGGGGTTAGCATCAGCCATGCTGAAAAAACAGCGTCCATCATAATTTCAATCTGTTCATTGGATGTGTTCATATCATGCGGAAAAAAGGCGTAACGAGCCATTTTCATGGAGTTAAAAATTCATCCTTCTGGTGGTACATAGCATATCAGCAGTAAGATTGCAGTGATCGGGGAAGCATCCTCTCGGGAGTCTTTTCAGTATTGCTGATAATATTTTTTTTTCAAAAACGTATTGCTGGTAATAATGTATTGCTGGTAATACTTTTTTCTTCAAAAATTTATTGCTATAGTAATTTTTTACAAAAATATTTTGTTGAGATTAAAACCTATTTTTATACTTTCATAATGTTTTAACATCAGTTTGAGGGTCGACTATTTGGATATAGCTGGTACCCTAACAGGTGCTACCACTCCGGGTCAGGATGGGCCAGAAATACGAGCAATTTAGAGGTGGTTACACGCTCCTCAAAACCTCGTAATCAGAGCTCTTGCTGCCGGATTTAGTTTACTGTCTTACCCAGGACGGGGATTTTATCAAGAAACTTTAGATAAACAATAGCAGCATCAGACCATATTTGGCAACAATGTTCAAATTATGGACGAATGGTATACTTATAAATATGTAAGATAGATTCAGGAAAGGAAAATTGTCTTACACGACACAGACAACAAGACTTTCTTAGCAGCTGACTTAGTAATGCATTCAATATAATCTTTCAACTTCATGTCAGCCGGGAATGAAAGACTGGGAAGACGGAACAATTTATGCACATGAAGGTTAGTATCATCAACCATATTTATTCAATATGGTTGATGAGGTTTTTTTTTTTGTTTTTTATCTCCTTTAATTTCACTTATTTAAGTTCTTTCTTTCTTCTCTTTATATTTATTTTATTTATATTTATTTCATATATATATATATATATATATATATATATATATATATATATATATATATATATATTTATATATTTGTTTTTTTTTCTTTTTTCTTTTTTAAATCAATTTTTTATAATTATACAATATATATATTTTATATATATTATATATATATAATCTAGTCTTTTTTTGTACAACATTTTCTTTTTTTTTTTCTTTCTTCTTTTCTTTCTTCATATATATATATATATATATATATATATATATATATATATATATATATATATATATTCTTCTACTTTATATATATATATATATATATATATATATAAATATGAATACAAATCTACTTGAAAATCCCATGTAACACTTAAGACAATCTACGGATAACTGAGGCTAATCTCTCTTAATCTCAAACAAAAACGATTACAGTTTGTCGGCCATTGCCATCGAGCGGACCGAGGAATCGTCTCATCTTTATTACTATGGCATCCTTCTGGAAGTGCCTTCCGATGAAAATTGACTTTCCCAGCCACCATAGCTCGGGACTCAGGGTTTGGACATTGGGGATCTGATGGAGACTAGATATACAGCAGGAGCAGTGGATCATATTTCGCAACAATGTTCTAATCATGGACGAATGGCAGACTTATAAATATGTAAGATAGATTCAGGAGAGGAAAATTGTCTAGCATGACACAGTGAACCAGTTGTATTAGGAGCAGACCTAAGAATTGATTCAATATAGTCTTTCCATTTCACGTCAGTCAAGAATGTTCGCCACAGAAGTCGTAAAGAGTCACTCTTCTGAAGGTTAGCATCAGCCATACTGATGGAAGGCTGAATGGAGTCTCTCAGATAATTGGTAAAATGAAATTTCGTTTTCGAGTCGTTAAAACTAATAAAGCTGAGAGACATTTCTGAGATCAATTGTCAATTTGACATTATCGAAGAGATCAGACTTACCATCGAGACAGGTTTAAATGGTTTTGTCATCAGCACAGATATAAAATTGAGAAATGGTGTCCTCAGGAACGTTACTGGGGAAAATTAAGAACAAAGTGTATCTAGGAAAAGAGATTCAATTTATCGTCAATATACTGTAATACTTAGCCATTTCAATTGTAAAATGATGAGACCTTTCCGCCAATCTAGTACTGCGCTGAAATTTTATGAATAAAAATATCTTAGAGAAATATATTATTGTAACTATGTGTCAAATAATGGCATTTTTAAATAAATGTCTCAGTTTAAAAACGAAATTGAAGAAAAGTTCTTCGGATGAAAATTTTCTGTTAAAAATTTGACATAAAACATTGTTAGAATTCGCATTTTTTCACAGGGTTTTTCGTTATATTTATAAGAAATATTGAAATCAAACAAAACTATGTGTTTTCGGTCGTATAGATCTTGAAAGATTTTCTTTAATTTTGCGAGTAAAAACTAAAATATGGTGTAAAGACTGTTGTAAAAAATTCAAAAATAATAATAAAAGCCATTAATCTATTATCCATTGATTTTATTATTTTTTTACTTCAGTAGATTCAATTTCCAACATGGTAGTTTTAATTGCTTCCCATAGGTCTGCTTTGCTATTATATAGTTTGCCACCTTCATATAATTTCATCTTCACAATTGACCATAGGTTTTTGCATGGATTCAAATCAGTACTTGGTGGTGGCCATTCCATTAGCTTCTCTCCTGTAAATCTTTTATGCTCAAAGAATTCACAGCTAAGCTTAGATACATCAGAAGGACATTGTTATGCATAAATAGACACTTTATTTGAAACTGAAAGACTGGGGTTTGTACCATGCAAAGAAAATCTTGTTCATAAAATTGCAATATTTAGTACTGTTCATTTTAACTCCTCCATTGATGTTGAATGGTCTAATAATGGTTTGGTCGACAATTCCAGCTCATATTGTCTCCTTGTTGCCTTCTTTTAGCCACAGTCATGTTTGAATTGGATAAACTCTATCCTTTGACTCATCCATCAGGTCTATCACATGTCATTTGAAATTCATCTTTAGAAAAGTCAATTTTCATGGATTTCTTGGCCGAATTTTGATACCATAAAATATGTGCTTTAGTGAGAGGAGTTAACCTCAGAGGTTTTTTTTTAAGATCTTGATTCACAAAGTATTCTACACCTTTGTCTTTCTTGACTCCCCAAATTCCAACCTTTTCAAACATCTGAGCGCTTCTCAAAACTATTTGATTCACTATAACTCGTTTTAATTTACGTTCATCTCAAGGAAGCAAGTTCTTAAAACCTTTTCCATTGCTTTAAGTTATCAACTTATTTACCCTTTCAACAGACTTCTTTATCGTCTTATGATATCTACAAAGCTGTTTTCATATGTTCAATATAGACATTCTCTCACTCAATTATTTTGTTATTTTCTGTTTTTCAGCAGTTGTAAGATCCTAACCTTCACCCATGTTTCAACATATATTATGGACAAAAAATATCTTTTATTAGATTTCAGAGATCTTAAGCTAATCTTAGTTTAATCTGCATAATAATTTTAGTCAGTGAATTTCCATAAATTAAAATATGTCAAAAACTAACCTTTAAAAATGGCAGAAAATTTAATTAGATATTTTTTCTAAGGGTGGAAATGGACGAATTTAAATTTGACAAATATTGGTTCAGAACCTTTTGCGTGATTGAGTTTTATTTGATCTACATTTATAACTTCAGGCAGACTGTAGACTGGCATCGAGATCTCACTACATTTGAGCTAGCTAGATGTAACCGTAAGTTCTATGTTAACAGTTTCTTTTCTCGCACTTCTCGCTTGTGGAACTCCCTTCCGCCTCCACGCTTTCCAACCAACTTCCATCTGCAAAAAAAAAAAAAAATTAATACTAGGTCAATCGCTGTCTAGTGTTCTATTGATTACTCTTTCCTCGATACTTATGTTATTAATTCTTCCACACCCTTAACCCCTCGTGCCGTACTGGATTCACTGCTTACATGTGGTGATCTAGGTTTAATAAAGTTCATGTAAAGGGATATTAAATTAATATTTTGGCGTAAAAAGAGGTTAAATTTCTATTTAATGGAATTTGTTAAATAAACATACAAATAACAAGACCAACATTCATAAAAAAATATATATTTTCTTCGAATTTTTCAGACAAAAATTTTCTTTTTGAAATCAGTATGAAATAATATAGCATATTCCAAGGAAATAAAATAAATAAAAGTTATAGTTACTTTAAATAAATAAGTTAAAACTATTCCATGTGTAAGAGCAAAATTCAGTGAATTTTGTTAAGACGAATACAGCGGCGAAACCAACACCGAAACTAAAAAAAAACAAAAAAAACGTCATTACAAGAGAAAAGAAAAGCTTCTGAACTAAGCCTCCAGTTCAATCTCTCAACTGCAACATGAGTAGGTCTGTAGTATAGAACGCCATGCCTCACTTCATTGATCTTCCGTTATTTTCTGGCTCACAATGACGAATAAACGTCTCCTCTGGTTATCGTACTCATAGAGTTACTACCCGTTTTGTACATTTCCTGGAGTTCACACAATGCTCACAGTTAGGAACGGAATGTAGTTCCTGCGAAATAAATTCTAGAGATGTTCATCCAGTTTTGTAACAGGAATTCTTCTGACTCCTTAACTTCAATTCACAGTGAAACCTGGAACTAAAACCGATTTTATTTTTGTTTTTTTGTTTTTTGTTTTTATTCATGGAAAATAAAATATTCTGTGTTTACATAAATTGCGAGGTTATCTTAATTACTCAGTAACACCATGCGAATGTTTGGAGTATTTTTCCTTTGAAAAATAGAAGTTGTACGATAATTACCTTCATTTAATGAGATTCTGGTATGGCAGACATGTGATATGCGAAGGACATTATTTTTTATTATTATTATTTTTTTTTTTTTGAGATTTAGGAAGGAGAAAGTAAGACCTGTTCATGAATCTTAAAGAAAGAAAGGAAACCAACTGAAAGAAAGAAAGAAAGAAAGAAAGAAAGAAAGAAAGAAATAACGATTTAGGAAGGAGAAAAAGAAACATTTATGAATGTGAAAGAAAGAAAGAAAGAAAGAAAGAAAGAAAGAAAGAAAGAAAGAAAGGTTTACGAAGGAGAAATAAAGAAACACTCATGAATGTTAACGAAAGAAAGAAAGAAAGGAAAAGAAGTCAAATAAGCCGAAGAAAGAAAGAAAGAAAGAAAGAAAGAAAGAAAGAAAGAAAGAAAGAAAGAAAGGGAAACCTACTGAAAAAAAGAAGGAAGAAAGAAAGAAAGATAGATAGATTCAGGAAGAAGAAAAACAAATGTTCATGAATGAGAAAGAAAGAAAGAAAGAAAAAAGAAAGAAAGAAAGAAAGATTTGGGAAGGAGAAAAAGAAACATTCCTGAATATGAAAGAAAGATAGATAGATAGATAGATAGATAGATAGATAGATAGATAGATAGATTTAGGAAGGAGAACGAAACAAAGAAACATTCATGGAGGTTAAAGAAAGAAAAAAGGCGATAAAACCCCTAAGATGCAAGTGATTACCGAGAGTGCACGATTATGAGAACATCTTTATTAAGGAGACAGGACAATAAAAGAACGAGATTCAAGGAGACAGAAGGTGATAATTGTTAATGCACTAAAATTTTTGAAGATCTAATTTGGAAATTGACAAGCTAGAAGAGAGTTCCACAAGCAAGAAATGCAAGAGAAGAAACTCTTAGCATAGAACTTACGGTTAGATCTAGTAATTTCAGATGTAACCTAATGACCTAGCTCTTAACTGCACTGAAATTGGCGAATTGGAAATAACATTGATACCATTAATAGGCTCGTGGAAGATGCGTTAGCGCGATGGAAGAGTTACTGAGACCTCTTTTTTTTGGGGGGGGGGATTTGTCTAGATACATAGCAGAAGCACCTACCTCGATTTGACCCTAATATTCAATGCATAGAAAAAATGGTATACATATAAAGTGTACTATTTAAATGTAATATCAAACGTTATCTACTGTATCGTTAATAGTTCCATTCCAAATGGAATATGAAAGACATGCCTGTGTGGTTTATCAGTGTTTGATTCTTTAATTCGATTTATACGGCTTATCAACCATTTGCAGGTTATTTAAAGCCAGAAAAAACATTTTTCGATTCAAAGAAATGTTCTTGAGATGAAAATGATTTTAATGATACAAGTCTTACTAATTTACCCACAACTGGGGGAGAAGATGTGGATTCATCAGTTTCTCAAGGATATTTACGTCTAAGGGAATATAAAGAACCCGATTAGAAAATGGAACTCGATTGGATATCTGTCAAATTGCATGACTCTTTTCTGGTCTGTAAAAGACAGAGGTCATCGATAACCATACAGGCCAAGATATTTTATATGATAGATAGATATGAACAGACTGAGATAGATAGATAGATAGATAGATAGATAGATAGATAGATAGATAGATAGATATGAAGAGATTCAGATAGATAGATATGAACAGACTTAGATATAAAGACACTGAGATAGATAGAGAGATAGATAGATAGATAGATAGATAGATAGATAGATGAATATGAACAGACTGAGATAGATAGATAGATGGATAGATAGATAGATAGATAGATAGATAGATAGATATGAACATGCTGAGATAGATAGATAGATAGATAGATAGATGGATGGATAGATGGATAGATTCAGATGGATAGGATGGATGGATGGATGGATGGATAGATAGATAGATAGACTATGGATGGATAGATGGATGAATGAATGTGAACATACTGAGATAGATGGATGGATGGATGGATAGGATAGATGGATGGATGGATTCAGATAGATAGATGGAAGAGATTCAGGCTGATACTAGATGGATGGATGGACTTAGATGGATGGATGGATGGATAGATGGATAGATAGATGGATAGATGATATCTAGATAGATGGATGGATATGATGGATGACTGGATAGATAGATGTGAGATTCAGATAGATAGATAGATAGGATAGATGAGATAGATGGATGGATGGATATGAAGAGATTCAGATAGATAGATGATAGATGGATAGATAGATGAATAGATAGATAGATAGATAGATGGATGTGGACAGACTGAGATAGATAGATAGATAGATGGATGGATAGATGGATGGATGTGAACAGATGGGATAGATAGATAGATGGATAGATAGATAGATAGATGGATGGATGTGGACATACTGAGATAGATAGATAGATAGATATGATGGATTCAGATAGATAGATATGAAGATATGAGATAGATGAGATAGATAGATAATGGATGAGATAGATAGATAGATATGAACAGACTGGATAGATAGATAGATAGATAGATAGATAGATAGATAGATAGATAGATGAATGAATATGAATAGACTGAGATAGATAGATAGATAGATAGATAGATAGATAGATAGATGAATGGGAACAGACTCAGGTAGGTCTTGCGACTTGTTAATCCAAGAGTATTTCCACCTATAGAGTTATTCCTTTATGCTAAGTAATTATATTACAGAACATGTTATTCACGAGCGCTCATCTCTTTCATTGGTTAACTTTGGTGACCAAAAAAGAGACACTATTTTAATACCATATATGAAATGGCAAAATATTCAAATTTAGTCAGTTCTTGGTTGAGGAGGCACGGTCGAGTAAGGGATAGCGGCTCAGATAGCCAAGTTCGAATTCAAGTTGAATCCATTACATTCACTTATGTATTAATACACTCGGGAAAGGGTATGAATCCTTTTCTTCTACCCCAGCTATGTGTAAATAGCAGGACAGACCGGATTGTAGCTTTGGACGGCAACTTGGATGGCAAATAGCTTCTGAAAAAAAAAAAAAGACCGCAGTCAGAAATAGCAACATACTGCTAGGTGAAAAAAAACATATCCTCGTCAGTCATGTATGACCGAAAAGAAATTAGAAAATTAATAGGTGAAATCTAAGTTGAAAGACAAAATAACATATCCTCGAAAGAAATATTGGAAAGAAAGAAAGATAAAAGAAATTAAGAAAATTTAGGGAATAATAAGAAAAATGAAGAAATCTAAAAGAAAAAAAGGAATTTAGATTAAAGAAAAAAATAAAAAAAGAAAGAAAAAAGAAAGAAAAGAAAGAAAGAAAAGAAAGAAAGAAAGAAAGAAAGAAAGAAAAAAAAAGAAAGAAAAGGGAATTTAGATTAAGGAAAGAAAGAAAGAAAGAAAAAAAAAGAAAATTTAGAAAGAAAGAAAAAACATGAAAGATTTAAAGAAAAAAAAAGAAAGACAAAGAAAGATTTAGAAAGAGATAAAAAAAAAAAGAGTTAAAAAAAAAAAGTTAAGATTAAAAAGATTTAAGAATCCAACTAAAGAAAGAAAGAAAGAAAAAAAAAAAAATAACAGAATAAGTTATAAAAAGATTAAAAAAAAAAGAAAGAGAAACAAAAGGAAAGAAAGAAAAAAGAAAGAAAGAAAAAGAAAAAGAAAAAAATTTAGATTAAGGAGAAGAAAGAAAAGGGAATTTAGAAAGAAAGAAAGAAAGAAAAAGAAAGAAAGAAAGAAAGAAAGAAAGAAAGAAAAGAAAAGGAATTTAGATTAAGGAGAAGAAAAAGAAAGAAAAGAAAGAAAAGAAAGAAAGAAAGAAAGAAAAGAAAGAAAGCAACTGAAAGAAAAAAAAAGAAAAAAAAAGAAAAAAAGATTTAATTTAAAAAGATTAAGGAAAAGATAAAGAAAAAAAAAAGAAAGAAAACAATTGGAAGAAAAAGAAAAGAAAAGAAAAGAAAGAAAGAAAAAAAAAAAGAAAGAAAGAAAGAAAGAAAAGGGAATTTAGATTAAGGAGAAGAAAGAAAAAAGAAAGAAAAAAGAAAGAAAGAAAAGAAAGAAAGAAAAAGAAAAGAATTTAGATTAAGAAAAAAGAAAGAAAAAAGAAAGAAAAGAAAGAAAGAAAGAAAGAAAGAAAGAAAAGGAATTGATTAAGGAGAAAAAGAAAGAAAGAAAGAAAAAGAAAAGAAAGAAAGAAAGGAAGAAAAGGAATTTAGATTAAAGAAAGAAAAAAGAAAAAAGAAAAGGAATTTAGATTAAGGAAAAAGAAAGAAAAGAAAGAAAAAGAAAGAAAGAAAAGAATTTAGATTAAGAAAAAAAGAAAGAAAAAAGAAAGAAAAAAGAAGAAAGAAAGAAAAGGGAATTTAAAGAAGAAAGAAAAAAAAAGAAAGTAAGAAAGAAAGAAAAAAAGAAAGAAAGAAAAGGAATTTAGATTAAGGAGAAGAAAAGAAAGAAAGAAAGAAAAAAGAAAAGAAAGAAAGAAAAGAAAAAGGGAATTTAGATTAAGAAAAAGAAAGAAAAGAAAGAAAGAAAGAAAAGAAAGAAAAGGGAATTTAGATTAAGGAGAAGAAAGAAAGAAAGAAAAGAAAGAAAGAAAGAAAGAAAAAGGAGAAGAAAAAGAAAAGAAGAAAAGAAAGAAAGAAAGAAAGAAAGAAAAGGGAATTTAGATTAAGGAGAAGAAAGAAAAAAGAAAGAAAGAAAGAAAGAAAGAAAGAAAGAAAGAAAAGGGAATTTAGATTAAGGAGAAGAAAGAAAGAAAGAAAGAAAGAAAGAAAGAAAGAAAGAAAGAAAGAAAAGGGAATTTAGAAAAAAAAAAAGAAAGAAGAAAGAAAAAAAGAAAGAAAGAAAAAAAGGGAATTTAGATTAAACTAAAGAAAGAAAGAAAAAAAAAGAAAGAAAAGAATCAATTTAGATTAAGATTAAAAAAAAAGAAAAAAGAAAGAAAGAAAAGAAAGAAACAATTTAGAAGAAGAAAAAATTGGGAAAGAAAGGCTTAAAAAAAAAGAAGAAAGAAAGAAAGAAAGAAAAAAGAAAGATATTTGTTAAACAAATAAAAGATAAGATTTAAGAAAGAAAGCAAAAAGAAAGAAAGAGTTATGAATGAAAAAGAAAAGAAAAAAGAAATAGTCAGAAAGAAAGAAAGAAAAGAAAAAGAAAGAAAAGAAAAGAAAGAAACTAAAGAAAGGAAAAAAAAAAAAAAGACTTAAAAAGAAAAAGAAAGATTTAGGAAGGAAACAGAAAGCAAGAAAGAGTTTTAAAAAGGTTAAAAAGAAAGAAAAAAAAAAGAAAAGAAAGAAAAAAGAAAACAACTGAAAAAAAAAAAAAAGAAAAAAAGAAACAATTTGAAAAGAAAAAAAATCGAAGAAAAAAGAAAAAAAAAATAAGATATTTGAAAACAAATAAAAGTAAGATTTAAAAGGCAAAAAGAAAAGAGTTATGAATGAAAAAAAGAAATCCTGAATGAAGGAAGTAACCGATTAAAGAAAGATTATTGATCCCATGATCAAAAAAAAAGAAAAAAAAGAAGAAAGAAAACAACTTTGAAAGATGGAAAGAAAAGAATTGTGAAATAAAAAACCGTTTTCCTAATAAAAGGATTAATGATTAAAAATGAAAAGATTACCCTTTGTGATGGCAGTTTTTTCCAATAAAATGGCTTAAAAATGTCCCCCGAGTTTCATATGCAAATTTGATGTAAACATTAGCTTTCTAAAAGTTAATGTTTAAACCCAATGGCGAACATTACTCATTCTTTACTCACCGTAACTCCGTTAATACTTAAATCTCGAATAGAATTAACCTCTGTTTGGACAAAGAATTGAATTACCTTGGAGGTTAGCTTTTTAGCCATATGCCAAAAAAACTACCAGTAAGTGTACTTAATTCCATCATATTCAAATATTCACTGTAATAAGAAAAAGGATAAAAATGTCTTCTCGTTCCTCTTCATTTGAACTCAGTAAACGCTGAGGTCACTACAGATCAACATCTCTTTAAACAAAGGCTCAATATAGATATTAAGTTCGATTCAGAGATCTAATACTTCCTGACCAGAGTACGACAAAGATTCAAGTATATCGTTTAGAAATATTGATATTCTCTGGGTAATATATATATATATATATATATATATATATATATATATATATATATATATATATATATAGACCCATAGACCCTTGTTTGTCTGTTTTCTATTTAAATTGAATTAATAATTTGTCTGATTTGACAGAGCTGTATGGGATACATCTTCCTTGGGATTATCCATACGGATTACCAAACTTTTCATGACTTATATATATATATATATATATATATATATATATATATATATATATATATAATAAATGTCTGACTGAATAAATTATGTCTGCTAATTTTTAATAAAATTTTTTACTATTGATGTTAAAGGATGAGAGAAATGTGCTATAATAGTTTCTATTATTTTCATTTCCCAAGTACTTTCAATCTTTTTCCAAGATCATCTTCAGGAGTTCAAGTGGTACAAAATTATATGTTGTTCATTAGTATAAGTATTTATATAAAGATGTGCGTTGTTATCCATTACCGTAATTTTTGGGTTACGCTTTTAAATGCAAAACGGTTGACAATGTGCCAAGCGTTCATTAGAACGTGAAAAAATTATCCATTAAGGAATTTTTTCTCTATGTTATGCCATGGCCACGCGCACATTAAAGCATGAAAAAACTGTTTCTTTATAGGCATTTCAGAAAATTACTGCAGTATTCATAGTTGAATCTGTTCAGTGCCGGCATTAATTTTTTAATATAAATTGCTTCTAGTATCTGTAATCTAAATTTGTTGTTTTCATTGTGTGAGAGGTCGTTATTAATGAGAATCTGCTGAAATCTTTTTGTGGATGGATTAATTTGTGCTGGATTAATAAATTCTATCTAAGTTCTGTAATTTAGACATTCACTCATAGTTGAGAGAGCAAGAGTTTTTGCTGGTCGTTTTTTTTATACGGAGAGGTAGTAAATGTATGGTTATTTGTGTCTATTAAAATATCAAGGAATAGGTTTTTGTTGTCTTTGTTAAGTTCGTATGTGAAATTGAGGACATATATTTTTGAAAGATTTTTTGAGTTCCATTATTTCTTCTAAAATAAGTATATCACCTACATATCTTAGGTAGATAAAGGCTTTCTTGGTGGTACTAAATATATTATTTTCTAGGTTGGCCATGTAGAAGTTACCGAAGGTTCGGCCCAGAATTGAACCCATTGAAACGTCATCACGTTGCACATATACGTTATTTCTGTGATCATAAAATAGGACTTCAGTGGTACAGGTTAACAGTAATCTTCTTAATATCTTAGGCTTAATTTTATTGGGGGTAGAGATAAATTATTATATATATAACTCTAATCGGGTTCAAATAACCCCAAGCTGACCTTCTTAAAATGTCTGCTTTTGGTCATGACCTCTGACCTCCAGTTCAGCAATCCATTGCTGTTTTTATATGCTTCCATAGCCAGTTTCTCTTCTTGGCATAGCCTACACGTATTCCCGACTATTATTTTCGTCTTTAAATTTCTTAAAATGCTTTATAATTGGCTGGATTTTTGTTATGTTTTTCTCTATCAGATAAGTACTTCTCTAATACGCCCAAACAACATAAGCTATTTAATCGAAATACGGTCAAATTAAGTTATAGCTGCGCAAGAAGTATGGGCAACATCATAAAAAGAATGAATAT